ACGCGTTAATCGAAACGACTAAAATCTGTAAAAGTTGCACCCTGATTCCTCTCCTTCCACCCGTCATACCGTATGCGGCAAGCGAATTTTAAAAATGCATTTTTTTTTAAACAAAGTAATGTTTACTTTGAGTAAAATTTTCTATCTAAAGTATTAAGAGTACTTCCCCTTCAGGTGGCATTACAATATTCCACCCTGTATATCATATCATAGAGGACGAACCCAAAGGTACAGTTATCTAAAATAGCCTGCTAAAAGAGGTCCTAATGAGTGTGTTCAAAAATATTCAAAAATGGAACCCCTGTCAGTTCGCAACATGGCTAAAATGAGAATTCTAATTTTGAGCAACATTCTGATACACATACTAATAAGTAACAAGTGCTCAATTAAAGCATGCTTTTGTACTTAAAACAGTACTGTACTTTAATTCTAAAAAATCAATCAATAAACTCAACATTAAAAATAATGTTCCTTTTCAAACAGACCTTTAAACTGTCAAACACCAAGCGGTCACCGGTGACCGCAACCTATTGTTCTATAATTGTGTTTACCATACCGGTACTCGACGAGTTAAACAAATTATAGAATGTGTTTTTACCTATGGGTTAAACCGTATACGAGCAGACGTATCACCTGATGGTAAGCAATCGGCGTCACCCACAGACACTCGAAACACTAGAACCGTTACTAGTGCGTTACCGGCCTTTTGGGGATAAGGAATTTGAGGATAGGGGGTTCAGGGATAAGGGAAGGTGAGTAATTGGGCCTCCAGTAACCTCACTCACACGACTAAACACAACGCTAGCGTTGTTTCACGTCGGTTTTTTGTGAGACCGTGGTATCACTCCGGTCGAGCCGGCCCATTCGTACCGAATCATGGGTCTCCATTAATTCAACTCAAACTCAATTTTAAAGCTTTTCTTTGATATTCTGCGTGTCAAACCCAGAGAGATACTTACGAGATTTCGCAGACCTAATATCGTCTAGTCATAGAAGTAAACACTGTTTTATCTAGACCAGCTCTTACTGCTACATAGTACATAATTATATTTTCACTTCTTTCTAAACATTTCCTTTGAGATTGCATGTTGGCGTGCGTGTTTGTTAAAAAATAATTTCTATAATCCGCTCTGCGGTTGAAAGTATAGCAGGAGTTTGTGATTTCAAGTAAATTGTGGGTTATTGAAGCATTGAGTGGCTAGTGGCATTTTGTTCTGAACTCAATACTTAATAGTCAGTTTGTTTTAGTAGCTTTTCTATACTTATATTATAACTTTCGTTAGACATATTTAAATAATCATTATATCTTTCGGGTTATTCACGTATTTATTTGACGAGGAACTCGACAAGTTTCAAGGCATGCTAGAGGCTCATAGTTATTCAGATTCATGAGTAGTATTCTGCGACCTGCGATGCGGGAACTGTCGTGCTGCTACTCTTAAGAGTAAAATAACTACGTTTGTCTATTCATGGAAACTACTATATACATATTTTCAAAAAAGTTTTTATGGTGTGCGGGTAGCTGTCTAAGGATTTCCAAGATTATACATAGATACTTTTTTGTTCATATGTTTGGGATTAGGACAATTTCATGTATCGTGGGTGTATTCCGTGTATTCACATACGTGGACACTCTAATCGAGAGACATATTTAGAATTATTTTGCGCTGGTATTGGATATTCAACACGCTGAACAGTAACTGGTCGTCCAACCACTGCGCCAATAAATTAGGCAGTCGTTTTGAATCGTTAAAAAATATTTATAATTTCTAAAATTAAATATACTTTTACATACATATCATACTCTTGTCTCCCATTGGGGTAGGCAGAGATTATAGAACGTCAATTGCTACGATTTTTACCGACTTCTAAGCAGGAGGAGGGGTCTGTCTTCGGGTAATTGATTTTTTTTTTTATTTGTTTGGTTGGGAATTACTCCACCGATATACAGAATTCTTGCTTTATTTGAAAGGATATACTCCTGAAATGGTCCCATTTCCTAACTTCTAAACACAGTGGGTGGTTAACCTATCAGGACTAATGATAGTCATTTTATGCTTTTTAGTTTTGACTTTTTGTTTATTATTAGTTTTTGGTTACATAACTCTTTCGCGTCATCAATATTTTTGTGTATGCTTGATTACATATTAAAAAAACGGATCTTTTATGATAAATTAGAAACTTCTAAGTTTCCTACATCGTTACAGATTTCCATAAATCAAAATTGCACTTTACAACTTCGGGTGAAATTGATCAGAAACCCATTAAACTGTTTGCTACTGTAAGCTGGGTGAGATTAACCGACTCTCATTATAGGGGCTGACCACTTAACCAGTAATTAATTTGCAAAAGAGCTGTACTCATTTGGTTAACATATTACTCTGAAGTATTTTGTTGGAACAATTTGTTTAACAAAAAATAATGTATGTAATTTTTTGTTAAACGTAACGTAATATAACATCACGCCTTTCATCTCCGAAGGGTTAGGCAATTGCACATTACGGCACCTACCTAATGCCACTGTACAATGTT